GCTTGATTATGATATGTCTCAGTGATTTTCTTTTGGGGGTCTATCCTTCCTGGGGTTTGTTGAGCTTCTTGAATGTTTATCTTTTCACTTTTCAGGATGTTAGAGAAATTTTCTGCCAGCACTTCTTCAACTATTTCCTCTGTGCTTCTTCTTGTTCTGGAATGCAGATAATTCTTAAGTTACTCCTCTTGATGTTGTCCAACATGAATCTTAAACCTTCTTCAGATTTTTTTTTATCCTTTTTTCTGTTTGTTCTGCTATCTTAGTGGTATTGAGAGATTTGTCTTTCAGCTCACTGGTTCTGCCTTCCATCTCTTCTATTCTACTCCTTTGCCCTTTCAGTGTATTGTCTGTTTCTGATATTCTATTATTGATCATTTGGACCTCTTTCTGTAGGTTTTCAATTGTTTCCAGTGCTTCATCTATCTTATTTGATTGTTCCTGTAGTGTCTTCCTGACTTCTTCCTTATTTTTCTTAACTCCATTGTAAAGTGTTTTGAAACATTTTATAATCATTTTTCTGAATTCCTTCTCATGCATTTCCAAGGCCTGCCCTCCTTCCAGAATGTAGTCCAGGTTTTCCTGTAGGTCATTTGTCTCAGACATTTTATCTTGTCTGGACATGTGCTGATATGGACATCTGCTTTTGCTTCTCTGACATGTTCAGTGTTTTATCTGTGGCCTTAATACTTTATGCTTTCTGATCAGGATGTGAGCTTCCCTTTTCACTCTTCTTATTGATTAACTCAGAGTAACTTTCACAGGTGTTGTCTGCCTCCCTGGTGTATGGCAGTTGGTATTGATTGTTGCCTGGATTTTGGTGTCTTATAGAATGTGATTGTAGCTCGACTATTTGGCAGCAGTTGCTGTCTCTTCTTGGGTAATGTAGGAAGAGAAAGAGTCCCCCAAAAGTAAAAGGGGGGGATAAAATAGCAACAGCAAAAAAAAAACAAAAATAAAACAAAACAAAACAAACCCACAGGGAAAACCAAAACCACAACAACAGCAACAACAAACTAGATTGGACACTGTAGTCTATAATTGCAGAAAGGGGAGAGGAGGGAGAGACGATAACAAATCTGTAACCTAACATGAATATGACTTTAATGTCCTCTTTCAGCTTCTTGCCTTCAAAGCTGTGTGATAAATTTCAAAATGCCACTGTTGGTTGTTATGCTATACCTCAGGATTTAATTTAATTTTTGCTCTGGTTTGTTTTTAAACTCTCTTTCCCTCTCCATACCCCTTGTTCTGGTCTTTTCCCTTTAAAAAAACACACAAGAACAACAGTTCAGGGCCGGCTCTTGGGCTGAGAGTATCTGTGCGCATACGTGGCAGAAGAACCCACCAGTGGTGGGGGTGGGGGTTGCCCTCTCGCTCAGGCAGCCCCTCTAGTCACCAGAATGGAGTTGTGCAAACAGTGGATGGCCAATTAACATATACTAAAAAGAAAAGAGTACAAAAGAAAATCAGAAACAAAGAAAAACCCACAAAGTGTATTGTCCACCTTTGCTCTGAGGTTCCCACAGCATTATTCTCTGGTGGGTCTGCTCCCCCGCTTGGTCTTGCCATTTGGTCTCGCCCAAGTTGTGGGCTCGGGGCCACTGAGCCCGGCAGATTGAAAAGTACGCGATTTCTTACTTCTGCTACAAGTTCCACTAGCTATAAGACTTCAAAAATTTTAAATAGTCCTACCTATGTGGTTCTGAGTTTTGGAGCTCTGCCCTGGATCTGCTTTGCCTGGTATTCTGTGGTATGGCTGATGGTGAACCTCACTGCACCTCTACCCCAGCCGCCATCCTCATTATCTTTTAATAGCATTTTCCCACACGCTTTTTAGAGTCCCATTGTATTGGGAACCTACCAAAAAAAGTTTGCAAAAATAAAACAAAAAGTTTCTGAGCACCTTTCAAGCAGTTTCCTTATAAAATGTGTACCTCATACATAACATACGAGGAGCACGGTGGTGTTTAGAAAACTAGATCCGGGTACTAGATTTGCTCATTCCTTTTGGGGGTGTCATTGCTTCTTGGCTTCAATGGACAGAAGGTCAGGGAAGTCCATCTTTGTATCTACCATACACATTGTGTCTGTTTCTAAGTCTTTGTATCTGTAGACATATTGAACAGTATGTATTTGTACTGGTATATTCAATTCCCATCATTACCAGAGGTTTCTTCTCCTTTACTTTGCTTTATTTGCGATTTTTTTCTCTAAGTTGGCCCCCATTGTTCTTGGTAAATTTACTTACTTACTCTGTTATTGAACATGCTTAAAGCAGTTTCAGAATTGCCAATCCATACTCTTGTCAAAAGCCAAATGTGCTAACTAGAGTCTGATGTGAGGGATCCTCAAAGAAGTTTGTGGGAAAATTCCATTATTGTTTAACTCCATTTCCCCCAAACTTCTCAAAGCCCCTCGTATTTGTGTCCAGTTACTTCTGCTTGTAGTCCTGGGTATGCAAAGGGCCGTTTTCTGAACATACGTTTGCGGGTTCATGCTATTTGTAATGAAGTTAGATGCACGTGTTTCTGTTGGTAGGATGATCTCCAGGACTGGGCACAGGCATTAGCTGTTCTCCTTCCCTGTTGATGTGAGATAGTCACTGCAGCTTGCCCAGGGAGTGGGTACTACCAGGGTAGGACAAGCCAGGCTCTGGGCAGAGCTCATCGTGCCTGGATCCTGTAGCTCCTTTCCCTTGAGAATTCTCTTTGCCTTTTGTTTTGTTTTCATACTTTATTACCTTCTTGGTGTTGTTGATCCTGTACACAGTGGAACACTGAGCAGGCCCACCATTTCTGTATGCAGTTCTGTGGCATGGAGTCCCTCCAGGTTGTATATCTGCTCCTGGCAGACACTCTGCCCGCTGCGAGGTGGAGAGAGACTCCAGGGAGATCTCCGCTTCCTCTCAAGGAGGCTTGGGCAGTGGGCACTGCTCCCTGCCCAGAAGGCTTCCCGGTCCTGTGGTCAATCTGGTGGAGACACTGATTTTGAAGCCTCTCCCTTTGCTCCCCCTCGTGTTCTCCATGAAGCCTCAAACTTTGCCTCTGACAAGGCTCCGTGGCCTGAGTGCTCCCTGTGTGTGAGGTCTGTCTGTCTGTCTGGTGGACTCTGCTGCTGACCATCAGGGGCCTGAGTACTCCCTGTGTGGCTTCCCTGAGGCTGGCAATTTCAGACCCGTTTCTGTGAGGTAGAAGTGGGCTCGAGAGCTCCGTGTCTTGAAGATAAGTAGTCAGAAATAAGGAGGGAAAGTCCCTGGGGGGCAGCAGGTCTCCTGGCCCCTTACTGGACACCAGGTTTTGACTTGGTGGTACTAAAGGCAACCAGCATCAATCTCAAGGATTTGTGAATCGTCCTTCGGTGAGCTTGGTGCAGACCGCAGGGCAAAGAGCACAGGGAGCTCCCTTCCTTCCACTGGGAGCCACAGATGAGTCACCCACTAAGCGTGTGTCCGCACGGTCTCGTGTGGCGGGTGGCCCGGGGCAGCGTCCAGCATGCACCTACTGGATGACAAAGTCCACTGTAATTATGGTCCTGATAACATCTGGGATTCTGCAAATATAAGCCCAGACCATTTCTACAATTTCTCTCTTTTTTCACTCTTTTCCCAAGAAGTTAGTGTAAAAGCGTTTGCCTCCAGGGCTCATTTTGCTCTCTGTTGGCTTTAGCTTATTAGTGATTTCAGGAGTGAAATGAACTCTGTGTCTCTGGTAGGCAGTTGTTGCTGGTGCCGTCCAGTTGGTTCCGACTCACGGTGACCCTGAGTACCACAGAGACAGCACTGACCAGCGCTGTGCCCAGAAAGACCGTCTCCTTGCAGGTTTACAGAGTGGTGGCTGGCTGAATTCCAGAGGTAACGTCTACAGGAAAAACAGACCCAAGTTCCTGCTTCTGAGGCCCGTGTCCTTGTGAATATCTGCTTAGTTGACCAGAGTGGACGCATGGGATTGGTGTGTGTGAACGTCCACCCCAGCCCTTCTGGAAAGGTGTTCAGAAGGGATGGCTGGAAATGCACCCAAACCTGCCTGGCCTCGTGTGGTGTCCAAACACGCCCCCCCCCCCGTCCCCGCCCTGCCTTTCACAGTTTCCTCTAACCATTTTGGGCGGTGAGGTTGGGCTGGTGGGGGCATCGGGGAGAGAGATGCTGAGCAGCTGGTGTGTGAGAGCCAGCCGGGAAGGACACCAGGAGCGTCCTGGCATCTCCAGAAAGTGCGCTGTACTGTGCCGTGGGCCAGGCTGTCTGACCCTGTGTGCTCCCTCTGCAGAGCCACACTAACACAGAACACAAGACGGCCCTGGACTCCGGCCAGTAGCCGGTCAGTGAGCCCACGAGGAGGAAAGAAACAGGCTGTGTTGTGTGGCTTTGCTTTCTGTAGCGTTTTGCTGTGTATACTCTCCAGCAGTGCTGACCCACCACAGACGGGAGGTAGAGAACACTCACACACCTGTCCCACCAGCACCTGCCCTGCCAGGTGGTGAGTCTCAGGACGGGGGTGGGAGGTGCTCAGGTTTCTCCTTGTCAGAGTGGACTGCTTTCCACAAGTCCATGTGTGAGAACTAGCCCAGAAGGCTTCTCCCTTCCTCCTCAGTTTTGTGTGTGACCGTGGAAACTAAGGAAAGACCTGCTGGCGGACCGGGCCTCAGGACACCGGGAGGGGACAGAGGAGCCCAGCCGGAGCCAGGCCTGCCTTCTATGTGCACAGCTGCTGCAATGCCGCGGCCACCGCCCTCTGGGCCGGCCCTGGAGGAGCTGCTGACTCGCAAGGAGGCAGAGTGGCGGGCGCTGCAGGCACACCGCACCCAGCTTCAGGATGCTGCACTGAAAGAGGCGCAGAGCCAGCTGGAGGAGGCTCAGGGCCAGCTGCGGCGTCTGCGGGAGGACTTCGTTTACAACCTGCAGGTGCTGGAGGAGCGGGACCGGGAACTGGAGTGCTGCGACCTCGCCTTTGCCCAGGCCAGGCGCCAGGAGGAGGCCCGGCAGGCTGAGGCCAGCGAGCTCAAGATTGAGGTGGCTAAGCTGAGGCAGGCATTGACCCGCGAGGCCCGCCAGGTAGAGGAGCTGCAGCAAAGGCAGCGGCTGACCCTGCAGGACCATCGCCGGGAGCTGGAGCGCATGCACAGGTGAGGCTCGGTCACCACGCTGCGCCTCACTGCGCGGCCCTGACCATGTTGAGTGTGGACCAGGGTGTCTCTTTCTGGGTTTCGGTGCCTTGCTGTGGTCATGGGAGATCCATTCAAGTTGAATTCTTTCATTAATTGTGAATCTACATGGTTTTAGTTAAACATATTCAAGTTTATAGTTAAATGATGTGAAACATACATTAATTTCAACCAGAATGGGCTGGCATTGGGCACAGCACACGGTCTGCAGGCCTTGGGGTGGGGGGTGGGGATTAGTATTGGTACCTGCCCAGGTGTCCCGTTTCAGGGACCACCAGCTGGTAGGTGATAGAGTCCAGGTGCAGTATGTCCCTTGCTGGCAGTGGTAGTGTCCCTCTGCTCGGCCTCTCTGTGGGTGACAGGTGGGTGACAACTTCCAAGTCGACAACTCTGTATAGGGGTTCTGAGAAGCAGCTGGTGAGTTTGAACCGCCAACCTTGCAGCTAGGTGTCCACACTTCTCCTATATCACCACACCAGGACTCCGAACATAAAAATAAGAGCATCCTGCAGGTACTTTTTCACAGTAAAGAACCTGAGTATTTTTGCTTGATGCACATGCCTTTTCAAAGCAATTGTTTAAATCACAAAATTGGCATGCTCTCAAGGTCAGAGGTCAGACTGGATGGGAGATGGTGCCATGGGAAGCAGCCTGTATGGTGAATGGGAACCTGTGTGTGTTCTTCTGTGTGAGGTCCCGCATGTGTGTTCCCCAGTGTGAGGTCCACTGTATATGTTCTCCTGTGTGAGGTCCACTGTGTGTAGTTGACTGTGTGTGATTCGCCATGTGTGTTCTGCTGTGTGTGGTCCGCTCTGTGTGTGGGGTCCTCTATGTGAGGCTCACTTTGTACGTGTGGCCTGCTCTGTAGGTGTGTGCTGCTGTGTGTAGTCCTCTGTGTGGGGTCCTCCATGTGAGGTTCGCTGTGTATGTGCTCCCATTGGCATAGTTTCTGAAGTTTCTCTAACCGACCTGGCCTGGCCTCTCACGGAGCTGCTGCTCTCACCTTGGGGAAGCACTAGGTGTTTTGGGTTGCTTTTGTGTTTTCCCACTCCCGTAAAGATTTACAGCCTCGGAAACCCTGTACAGGGTCGCTATGGGTCGGAACCGACTCCATGGCACATAACAACAACAACAACAACATGCAGAACTTACTAGCTGGGAGCCATTTCTATCCCAGCAGTGCCGCTTAGGAACACTGGTCTCACACCGCCTGTGTGTGTAGAGCTCGAGAGTCCCTCCCACACAGAGCATGGATGTTAGTTACTATCCTTGTCCTGATTTGTATTATTGAAGCATGTGCTCTGATGGGACTGGAAGTCAGAAGTGGGTCCATGTGACACGGATTTGTCAAGGGCACTCCATAAAAGTGTTCCATTTTTCTCTCATGGTCATTTTTGAGAATGTTTAGAGCAGCTTTCACAAGTTATTTTACATGATTTTGTGAGGTATCTCCTTCAGACATGGCCTTTCAGGTCCAGCACAGCTGGCCTTCTGCTTAGTGTTTGCTCTTCTGTTCCTGTGTTCACACTGAGCACTGTCTTCATGTCCCCGGCTCTCCTTCAGTATAAACGGCGTGGTGGTGCGTGTCTGACTTCTGAGTTCAGGAGGGGAGGAATCGCCATCAGCATCAGCCCACAGCTGATGGGCAAAGTGGCAGCATCAGTGGGCTCAAGCGTGGCAACAATTGTGAGGTTGGCTCAGGATCGGTCAGGGTTTCATTCTGGTATGCATAGGGTCACTCTGAGTCGGTACTGACCCGATGGCACCTAACAACAACCAAGTTGCTTTGTTTGATGGCTGACTTAAAATACTTGTCACCTAGATATCCTGACACCTGTGACGCTGCCTCTAACTTGACATCTTCCAGCTCTTAGTCCTGCTTCTTGTTATCATGTGTGGGTTTTTACTGTGTTTGGCACATTTTGGGTATTATGTCATGAGATGTGAGATTCCATTCATCTCATCTTTGCAAGTAGTCACTCCCCTGCCTGGGTGCACAGGTTCAAGGGGAGGCCCTTCTGATGCGGCTGAGTGAAGGGGGGCCCCACTGACCCGGGTGGGAGGTGGGAGGAAATAGAGTGCCGGCAAATACCATCTGGTTACCACCAGGTGGGGTGGGAGTTGTGCCCCCACCAGGCCCAACAGCACCTTGCTAAAGCAGAGCTCCACATGGTGGTCTGTGGAGGGTCCCTGGTGCCTGTGTGCTACGGTGGCGGTTGAGCATGTTCTCACTGTGTGTTTCCTGATCACAGTGACAGGAACGTGGAAATCCACCACCTCCGGGAGCAGTATGAGCAACTGCAGGGGACACTGGGGCGGAAGCTCCAGGAGCTCGATGGGGAGCTGGCGCTGCAGAAGCAGGTAGGTACTGCCATCCAGTCCTTCAGTGGCCCCTCTCTACTGCCCTGTGACCACAGCTGGACCGGAGGCACTGAGGGCGGAAGTCGGGCCAGTCTCCTCTCCGTGGGGTCTGTTGGGAGCCATGGTGGATGTCCACAGTCATCTGTGGTGACCCCAGAGTGCTCCATGTCCTCAGAAATGAGCACGTGGCAATCCTGAGTTTAGGGGGAACTGCAAGGTAGGCGCTAGCATCACTCCTGTAGAAAAACTGGGAATTCAAACTGAATCGTCACCACAGTTTCTCCTCAGAGCCTTTAAAACTCAGTCTGTGCATCGGAGCCGGGAGAGATCTGCTGGCCAGACTGATGTTTGGTGGGCAGAGGCGCTGACATGAGGGTGGGGGCTGGGGGTGTGGCCTTGAGGGTGAAGCCCTGGATGTACCCGGGTGTGGATGCACGGGAGGGCAGGGCTGAGTGTGTGGGGTAGAGGTGATGGTTACACTGTGTGTTGTGGGCATAGTGAGCTGACACTCTGTTAGTACCAGGCAGTAAGGGGCTCTTCCCCACAAAGCCCCCCTGCACACACCTGAATCCCTGCACTCCTCAGTAAAATCCCCAATAGAGACACAATGTCACCCCAGTTTGCAGAGGGGAACTGAGATCAGAGACTTAGAGTCACCTGTCCAAGGTCTCCAGCTGGTCAGCTGGACTCGGGCCCCTGACTCCTGGTACTGTGCTCCCAGGGGCCGGCTGCCTGGGTCAGCTGTGTGCCCACATCTGCTGAGGGACTTGTCACAGGACATGTGTCTACTCAGTGGGTTGGTGACCTGTTCTGCTGGTGTGAGACCAGACTGCCCTCCCCCTCCCCCACCACACACGTATAGTGCAGGGGACGCAGTGGAGGGACGGTGACCTAGACATGTGCACGCCCCAGCCAGGCCATCATGGGGCTTCTGGTAGCCATAGGAGATGCAGCGTCCAGTGTGGGGGCCCTTCGTCCCTGTGGAGGGGTCTCTACATCTGTGTGAGTCTCCTGTGGCTCACTGGCCTTCAGAAAGCTTCCTTTGAAATTCTAAGGACCAAGCACTCTATCTGCTGTGGACCACGCTCCAGCCCGAGTCAGCCTCTGGACAGAGGTGCCACCATCTGAGGAGTGCAGACTCCTCCCGAGTGGCCCGGGTCTCTTCAGGAAAGGACATCTCAGAGCTCGGGTAGTGGGTGGCTGTCCTGCGGCGCCAGCCATCTGAACTCAGACAGACCTGCATCTTGGTTCACAGCCACCTCTGGTACTTGCCATATCGCCTGGCACCTGGTCGGCTGGGTTTCTGTCTCTTGTTGGAAAGCTCCTTGAGTCCGTTACTGATATGTCAGAGGGGAGCCGACTCAGGACGTTGGGCCTGAGATGATGGTGGCCCCGAGGCCTGCCGCCTGTTGCGAGTGGACTGTGGATGGTTAGCAGGCCGAGCTAATCGAGGAAGACTTGCAGCTGAATTGGTCTGTTTACCATTAGACACGTGTTTTGGGACCTTGTCCATAGGAGCTACCCTCTGGGGGGTATGGCTGAGGGGTGCTGCTGGCAGAACCCAAGGGAGACCTTCTGAGTGCCTCACCCTCTGTGGGGCAGCAAACCTGGGTGGGGCAGGAGTGCTTTCTGGGGGAGTCCCAGGGGTGGGTGGGTCAAGAGGGGATGGGGACTCAAGCCACAGGTGGGTCAAGAGTGGAGGGGTGGAAGCCTGTTCCAAAGGTCACCTGCTTGTTGGCAGGTAGGGATATTCTGCGCTCCAGTGGGGTGGTGGGTTCAGGTAGGCGGGTACCTTGGTAGTTAGCCCCTAGCACCGATGTGTGGGGCTGGCAGGAGGGGCACAGTGGGACTGAAGTGGGCAGAGCAGCCTGAGGGGAATGATGGAAGATGGTGGGAGCATCAGCTCTGTGGGACGCCCTGTGGAGTGGGATGGCTTCGCTTGGTATTTGGGTGTTGAGCTGGGTGAAAGTCCATCGGCTTGTAAGAGTCCTGTGACAGAGTGGACTGAGGACAGACAGAAGGTGGGGGACAGCAGTGAGACCCTGGGGGCGGTGGCGGCGGCGAGGCAGAAGCACTGGCCCTGTCCCGACTGGACGCTCACCCCCTGTGAGTGGCCCTGGTGCAGAGCTTGCACTTCCTCCTGCCTTCACCTGGAACTCCTCGGGCGGACGCAGGATTGGGGCAGAGAGGAGTGGAGTGCTCCCCACTGGGTCCCTGCCACTTGCCTCTCCGTGTAACAGAGTGACCACTCTCGCTGCTGCCCTTGGGGCCATTGGATAGTGAGGGCAGCAAAGGACACCCCGGGCCAGAGAAGGTCACTTGTAGCAGCTGTAACTTACGCACTGTACATAAAGCCAAGCCGCAGAAGTGGAGGGTGTGGGTAGGCCCTGCTGTTGAAGGGCCTTGCCGAGAAGCAGCGGCTCTGGGAGTCCCTGAGCTCATCCCACCTTTCGCTGAGTCCTGATGGGTGACCAGTGGTCCTCGCGGGGGCCTGTCCTCACAAGAGCCCTTCCTGTCCAGGAGCTCCTGCTAGAATTTGAATCGGAGCTGCAGAGGAGGGGGCACGAGTCCCGCCTACAGGCCGACACTCTGAGCAATGCCGTCCTGACGCATGAACTCAAGGTAACTGACGCCACTTCTCTGCTCACGTGAGAGCCTCCAAGCTGGGGTTAGAGCAGCCGCCTCCCCACACACAGGACAGGACAGCTGCTGCCATGGCACGTTGTGGCACCAATTCTATGTCGCCAAGTGCTTGAGGTTAGCCTGTATCCCTCCAGAAACTGCAAGACAGGCCACGTCCCTGCACATGACTCAGCCTGAGCAGCAGGAGAGGGAGTGGTCTTGGGGCCGCTGCAGGCTGTGTGTACGCATAGAATACCGTTCACATCAGGCACTGAGGGACAGAACTGGTGGGCATGCGCTGGTATCTTGCGTGACGACTCACAGAGCCCAGGTTCCATTCATGTGTATGCATGTGCATACCGATTCCATTCATATGGGTGCAAGCATGCAGGCACCGTTCACATGTGTGTACGCACACAGACACCATTCATGCGTGTACACATACAGGTACCGTTCACCTGTGTGTACACCACTCACATCAGGCACTGAGGGACAGAACTAGTGGGCATGCGCTGGTGTCTTGCGTGATGACTCACACAGCCCAGGGGCCGTGGAGGTGTTTGGTCTGGGCATCAGGACATTGTCAGCTTCGGCTTCCGGTTCCTCAGCTCCTCCCAGCTGTGCCCACGTTGGCATTCATTTCTCTCTTTCAAAGGTTAAACTGCTGAGGAAGGAGCTGGAGGCCCTGAAGGGAGCGGCTGCGGAGGCTGCCGAGTCCCTGCAGAGAGCGGAGGTGGCCATCGCGGAGCTAGAACACACAGTGGCACGCAGGGACCAGGAACTGCAGGACCTCGAAGCCGTGAAGGACGCCCGGTGGGTGCACGGCGCAGCCTGGACTGGGCACTGCCTACTGCAGACTGCTCTGCCTCTGCCCCTCACCCACCGTGTACGTTCCTGCGGCTGCTTTTCAGGATAAAGGACTTAGAGGGCAAGCTCCATGCGGCACAGCTGACGAGGGCAAAGGAGGAGGAGACGTTCCGGAGGAAGTGAGTGGTGTCGGGACAGGGGCTGGCTGTGGATGTAGACCTGCTCGTCTGGGTTTGTTTGACAATTTTAGGGACCAAGAAACCAAACCAAGCCTCTGCCATCAAGTCAGTTTCAGCTAACAGTAGCAGGAAGCCTCCTCTTTCTCCTGTGGAGAGGTTGGTGGATTTGAACTGCTGGCTTTGTGGTTAGCAGCCCAAAACATAACCCACTACACCTCCAGGGCACGAAGCAAGTTAAAAATCCAGCAGAACAATTTACATGAACTCTCAAGGCTTGAAACTAGCCCTCCGTTCCCTGAGCACCTCCAGATGATGGATGTTGGCCATGCAGTCTGGATTCTGGGTGGAGGCCCCATCTCAACAGCAGTCCCACACTCCCGACCAGGTAGTGACAAAGATCCAAGTCTTTTACGTCAGGAAACTGTGGCCCCACCCTTTGCAGCCCCAGGGGTCATGGCCCTGTGGAGACCCAGGCAGCCCTGCTTCCCAGGCCCCTTGTCTCTTCAGCTCCTGCTTCCTGCTGGCATGATCTCTACCAGAGGTCAGCCTGGTCTCTGCTGGGCCTGAGCAACTGCCTGGAGGCACCCCACCCTCCAAGCAGCCTCCTCTGTGAAGGTGCTCAGCTCTCTGGCTCTGTGGACTTGTTCCCGTACCGTCCTGTGTCTACCACTGCCATTTCTCTTCCAGCTGCTTCTCACCGTCTGTATCTCGTGTTACAACTCTCCTCGTTTCCTTCTGAGTCCTCGTCAGAATTGCCTTTGACACCCTCAATCCCACCAACTGTCTTTTCCAGGAGATCTGGACTGTTAAACTGTTACCACCCTAGTGCTCTTCAGACTCGACTCACTGCCCAGCTCAACGCCTGAGTGTTCAGAATAGCACTCTGCTCCCCATACCAGATTTTGCCTTGTTCTGGGGCGCTGCTCTCACGGAAACACCACAAGCGGATGGTCTCTCAGAGTGCCTTCCAGGGCATGTCTTCTCTCTCTGGGGTTCTGGGGAAGGACCCTGGTTTCCTTTCGGTATCTGGTGTTATTGTTGTTAGGTGCCATCGAGTCGGTACCGACCCATAGCGACCTTATGCACAGCAGAAC